TCTGATCGTGTGGACCTGAAACGTTAGCACATAAGGCAATCGTAGAGAAATAAGGAATGTTTGCTATCATCAAAATCATAAACCATAGATCCGTAACACATATCATTTTCTCAGATCTTGATTTCAACTAGGTGCCTATTAACCATGTCATAAGGGGAACTAATGTCAATACCCATGTAGCCAAAGTTAAAACATTAAGTAAGGATGCCCGAACCATCAAGCACATTCTTCGCTCATATATTCTTCCTAAAGCTAGGGATTGGATTCATATCACTCATATTTTGTCCCTCACCACCTACTACATTTTAGCTCACTAAGATTTCAATGACATTGATCTCATAATCCGATACATTGAACATCTAACCATCATTTGGGATCCTGGCCATAAAAAGGAAATCACATCTCGCCTTAGGACATCTCATTGCCTATGTCCTTGAGATAAAATACAACCTTCAATATCTAGCCCCCTTGATCACCTCTGTATTTTCTTTTCTAATAGCTCCTTTCACATCCTTCATAGTACTCATCGCTAACATATGTGTGAGAAGCCTGAGGAAGAAGAGGAAGGACCTCTTTTTAACCTGTCCCTATCCACAAGCACTCCTAGATCGATGAACAGTTTCAAAGGTTTGATAAGTGGAAAGCTAAATTTGAGTTGTATGTCATCGAGCATCAGCTACATCTTGATCTGGATGTAGCTCAGTTTGAGGCATACGTAGTCCATCAGCAGTAACAACACAACCAATACATGGCCTGGTTTGGGGTGCAGTTTTCTTCCCTATACCAATTCTTTCAGAAGCCACCACCTCCACCTGATTAGGGTTCCTTCTTCTAATAGGTTGTTAGTGATTTATTTTGGTTTTATACTTATTTTCTTTTATGTATTATGTTTCGTGTGATATTTTTCTTGTTCCCTCTTTTTGTGATGTCAAAAGGAGTAATTAGTTATTGAGTTGTTTGATTTTATCTTTAATGGAATCTACCTGGTTTTACTATTGTTATTTTTTTTACTCTTTCCTTCTTTAATTTAAAAAAGAAAAAAAAAAAGAAAAAAAAACTGCTTGATCTAAAATTTTTAACAACAATGTTTTTCATTATCAAAAAGGGGGAGACTATTATGAATCTGGATCTAAATACTTTGATTTTGATGTTAACAAATATTATTATTTCTTTACCACTACTATTATTGAATATCTATTTTGTTTGACCTATTTACTAACCTTTTAGGTCCATAAAGATCACTGGCATGCAAATCAGCTCAAGATTGGGTAGATTATTGTTGAGTTTGTTTATAAATTTCATATAAATATAATTTTTACCTTTCTTAAGTCAAATCTTAAATATGGTGGACCCCAAGCTAAGTAATCTTGCACACACACACTCAAGGGGAGAAATTTGGTGAGTTAGAATTCTTTTTTTTTTTGTTTTCAACAAAATCATACATGATGATATTAGATCATCCTTGATGATCAGTATAAAAACAAAAATCATGATTAGGGCATCTAACTAATTACAATTGATTAAACTAATCATACTCGATGATCCATATCATCTAGGACTATTAGCTTAAAAGATGAAAACAGCCGACAATCATAATTTAGGTAATGTTTTAAATTTCAAATTTTGTTCTAATCATACAGAACAATATGCATCATCCTGGATGATTTTCAACAATCATACCTAAATTAATCTGGTGATTAAGAGAGTAATTATTGTTAAATTATTCAATCAAATCATATAAGACAATCCATTTGGATCGTACTGGACAATTTAGTTGAAAAACTATAACTTTATTCTAACCATCCAGGACGGTCACGAAACTTTTTCAAGATGATATGGAGATCGCCACTCATCATCCAATGTCGTGCTGGATGATTAATTTAGTATTTAGATCTAATCTTCTTGGATGATTTGTATAAATACTTATAATGATCATACATAGCAAAGGCGATCATCCTGGCTGATAGGGTTATTTTGTACTAATCGTACAAGATGATCTGTTGATTGTCCTAGATGATCAGTTGCATAGAATTAAAAATTAGGGCTTCTTTTAAAGGCTCTTTATTTAAGCAATAGTATTAACCCTTTGATTAATCTTTTGCTGTGGAGTTGATCTAAGAGGGAGCTTAGAGAAGGAAGAGGAAGAGCTTGAGAGAGAGAGAGAGAGAGAGAGAGAGAGAGAGAGAGAGAGAGAGATCCTTGTGAGGGGGAGTTTGTGAGGGAATCATAAAGGTTACTCCGTGCAAGGTATTCGTCGACTTCTTCGAGTTGCTCCATTAATTCCTTTGTAGCTCCAGGGAGATCATCTTTATTATTAGATCAAGGTTCTTTGCCTACTCCATGATAGAGTAAAAGGATTCCTTGGTTCTCTGTCTTCACTAGGTGGGTGAAAAAGAATTCAAGGTTCTTAGCCTCACCGTGTCTGTGGACAGATTCTATTAGGGCTTCTCCGCCATGCTGTGGGAGCAAAAGGAGAGTCACTTCAGTTTAATGCAATACTTAGAGAGGGAGTATCCAAGGAGTGGACATAGGTCAGATTTGATCGAACCACTATAAAACTCGGTATGTTTTTTCTTATTATTTTCACAGCATTTTATTTCCGCACTTTTTCTGTGATTTGTTCTGAGATTGACATATCTGATCATATTGATATTGTGAACATTATTTTTCTTCCGCATCAAGAATTATTATTTTGTTTTAAAATATTTAAAAAGATCAAATAGATTTTCTTTTTGTTTAATAATTTTTAAAACTACAAATTCCCCCCCCCCCCCCTTTTGGTTAGACTCAAGCTAGTTATTTAGGGTTTAATATCCCACACGAACTTTCAATTTGTGGTTCTCTCTTAAATCAGGCTACGACATTCAAAAGAAAATCTCAATGCGAGTCTGAACCCATTAGGATATTTTATCTTTGCATTCCATGGTAGTATATTATTCCTTATGGTTTGTTTGACTTCAGAATTGAAATTTAAACTTAATTTTAATTTTCTCAAAGAAATTTAATTTAGATTTGTTTTGCACCTTGTAAGGCAAATCACCTTTTCAAACATCAATAAACACATTCCCTTCGCAAATCACCTTTTCAAGCATCGATAAACACATTCCCTTCATCAACTCTGTTTGAATTAAAAACTCTTCTTTGACTTGGTACTGAATAATGTCACGGTCATTTATTATGTCCTCATCCCATTCATGAGTGCTCAAACATGTCTTAACAAAGTCATTATTTGCAACCATGTCTGCAGTGCCAACATTCACATAATAATAACATTGGATGATGTTATTTATTTCATCATTCATATCAACATTCACTTCATCTACACCACATTGTATGTTATCATCATCATAATCATCACGTGGCTCGCTGGATCTGGTGCTTATGGTTTCATAGCCATCATCAACAACGAGTGACAGTCAGAAGGTCCCGATACATCCTGCCAATAACTTCTTTTCCTTTCACACCATCACCAAAAAATGTATGTTAACAAAAGTTATACATCCACAATTTTATACTTCATTCTATAGAGATTTATATGAAGAGCTTAGTATATAGTAGTTCGACAGGTGAAATCATCAGACCACCTTCTATCCTTTCCTTTAAACTGAATGTTTCTTGCACTTGGGGTGTGTTAACCTCAACAACATTACTAGGTGCACCAATCTCTTCAACCTTCACATAAAGTATACGTATTTGTCTAATCGTAAGTGATGACATCATTTCACATACTTCATCATCCTCCACATACGAAGCTATAAACTCATTCTCTAAGGGCAAATGACAAACTAACATCGTTGTATACTTCAATGTACTTAAGTGCTTTGAGGACCCTAAACTTCAACTGCTCTAACTTTGTGTTAGCTGGCACTTACAAAGGACAATAATTGTCCCCACTATGCGTTGGTGCATACTTATTATGTAAAAATAATTCTTCGCCATACATAAGAACAAATGACGCTCATCGTCCAGACATAACTGCACTAATTCGTTTCATTGATCAAACCTTATAATAAACTAACAAAACCTTAAAAAAATAACTCAAAAGCATTCACAAAACACCATCTTTTATCATAAACGGTATATTAATATTGAATACAATATTACATATTTAAATTTTACAAAACAAATTAATATAAACATATTTTAAAATAAAACATAATAAATTTACACTTAAATATCATACTAAAAACACAAAAAAATCTCATTCCAACAAAGAAGAAAACACACAAATCATAAAATATTTTGATCTCATACAAATACATTGCCAAAAGAGTTTAGCATAAATCTTTTTTTTTTTTTTGGCCAACAAATTTCCAAGTGACTAAACCTAAAAAAAAAACACTTAGGCAAGAACTAAATATTTTGTATAAAGTTAGAAAAAACTCCGCGTACCTCCAAAATATAAAAAAGGCTAAAAATCTTACCTTAAGCTTGTTTTCACTTGGATGGAGCCGAATGGTTGTCGGATTGGCAGAAACATGTGAAATTCGGAAATAAGGATTCACAGGTGATAAAAGGGAGAGAGGCAAGTCGCTCGTTTAATGAACGACCTGCTTAAACAACAAGTCGCCAGTTAAGCCGAGTCTAAAATTTTTTCACTAAATTTGTTATCAGACTAATTTATATTTATACGATATTTAGTTTAAAAATTTATCATTTATATTTTCAAATTAGTGACAAATTTATATTTATACGATATTTAGTTTAAAAATTTATCATTTATATTTTCAAATTAGTAACATTACTGAAGGGAAGATTGTCACATATAAGTTAGTTAATTTATTGCCATAAATTTAATAAGTTATTTTAATGGATTCTTTTCTTTTTATTATATATATTACAATATATTGTTATTGTTATTAGGTTATCATCGATTTAACTATGACTAAATTATCTATTCATCTAAATAATAAATTTTAGGTAAACAGTCAAATAATAATTTACTAAAATTTAGAAGATTTTTGCCAAACAGGCCATAAACGCGACGTCCAATACAACCAAAATCTCCATTCGCCGATCCTAGTTGAACCCAGACCCTCGCGTGTCCCCTTCAGATCCCGAGAGAGTCGATCTTCAGCACCTTGCGCCGACTCCGACGTTCAGATGTCCCACGGAGACACTATTCCCCTCCATCCCTCCTCCCAGTCGGACATCGATGAGATCGAGAACCTCATCTACGATAGCGTCCAATCCAGCCAGGCAACTGTCCTTCCGGCGCGGCCGCCAAGCCCTCCGCGCGCCTCGATTCCAGTTTCCTCCTCCCCCTTCATCAATTCTAATATTCCACCACCATCCTATCAGAAGGCGACGGTCTCTGCCCCTTCGAAACAGCCGGTTCCGGCAGTTCTTCCGGTCTCATCCGCCGACTTCTCCACTCCCAGCGGGGGAGATGCGCGCCAGGGGATCTCCTCCGATGCGTTTGGGTCACCAGCAAACACGCTAACGGAGCCTGTTTGGGACACCGTGAAGAGGGATTTATCTCGAATTGTGAACAATCTGAAGCTTGTGGTGTTTCCTAACCCATATCGTGAGGATCCCGGTAAAGCATTGAGAGATTGGGATCTCTGGGGGCCGTTCTTCTTTATCGTATTTCTGGGACTCGCGCTCTCTTGGTCTGCCTCCGTCAAAAAGGTAAGTATATATCTTTGCTGTCGTGTGGGCGGGAAAAAACGATCGATTATGTGACATTGTTTTTAATTACTTGAACCTCTGAACATTTTTTTTTATTTCATTATTTTTCTCAATTGAATTCTGCATTATTGAAATTTGTTAGTTTCCCCTTTTATTGTTTCAAACTATATGCTCTTTAGATTATGAATAGGGATCTCTTTAATTTACTTAGATGGGCTGCACTTTAAGCTATAATTTTTAGTGTTCGAGGGCGTAACCACCTAGACTTGCTGGCGTGCTAGTTATTATGAATTTGGTTGCAAAAGGGGAGTTGGCCTGAGGGTTGGTTGCTAGGATACCCACTGTTGCCTTTGGTATATGTTCACTAAAACTTGCCATCTATAGGGGACTCGCACACTACTCGTTATGGGTCATGTCGCAAAGGGTTAGTTCGCATAATAGTGATTTGATGGCTTGTTGTGGAAGCTCGATCGATGTGATGATGATCACCAATGATGATTGGGGTGAGTTGGTCATTTTCGGCCTTGACCTATTGATTATTTATCTAGGTAATCGAATTAAGTTCGATATCTTTTCTTTTTTTTTTTGTAATCCTCCTTTTTTAAGTGTGTAGACTATGCTAGCTAGCCTTAATAAGGGTATAGGAATTTAAACGTGATTTGCCAATGCTATTTGGCAGGAAAAAAGGAATGGACCTTGCTTGAATGGCGACATCTCTTTTACTAGGGGCTTTAGCTCACCTACAATTTTGTGCCTAGTGGCCTCAACTCTCCTATAAGGAGCGATCTCACATACTTTTTAGCTTGATCCTAGACGAGACCTTGGGCAGTTTCCATGTCAGCCTGTCGCATTTAGTTATTATGCAACCAAGTGTCTAAGCATGGAAATTTACATTTTAGATTATTGGGAGCTCTCCCATAGTCAGAGGCAAGTCTCCCATGCGCCTTGGGTGATTTTAGATTACTATTTTTGAGCGAGTTCCTCGAATGTTGAGCAAATATCCTATACGAGCAAGTCCTTTCATTTTCAATCTTGTGGAATTGCGAGTTGCCCGAGTATATTTTCCACTCTAGGGTGAGTTCTTTGAGTGTTTTTAAAATAGATTTCACACGAAATTTCGAAGTTATAAACTCATTGAGGTTAAGACTCGCTCATACAAGAGAAGAAACGAAATGAGAAAGTAGGGTTTTTATTGTGTTTTCAAGATAGAAATTAAGTATTGATATAAATGTAAGGGCTTTCCTTATGGGTAGAAAAATTTTAAGTCATGAATGTTTCATGTCCTTGGTTCTTCCTTCCCAAAGTGAGTTTGCAATTGATAATATAGGGCCAACTTTCTCTTTAATGATAAACTCTAGGTTGTCAGTTTATTGAGCACAGAGTTGCGAACAACAGCATCCGCCTTCTTCAGAATGAGGTCTTTGAGCTTGAAAGCTTTATATTTCATGTGTGATTTGTAATACTTAGCCTTTCTCCTTTTTTTTTGTCCTTAGGGTAACTTGTGCTTTGAGTTCATTTAGGATGTCTACAACTGTCTTCAAACCTTCTCAATTAGTCGCATCCCATTTGCCGAGTTCACTTTCTTTATAGTTGGCAGTGGCGAACCCTTGTTGGTTGTGCAATTCATGCTCGACAGGTAAGAATGCCTCGATGCCATGGAGAGTTAGAATGGTGTTTGTCTTATTGCTGATGAAGGGGTCGTCTGAGCGCCCACAAGATTGAAGGGAGCGCCTCCAACCACTTGCCTCTTGCTCTTTCTTTCTTTCTTTCTTAGAAGGTTCAAGATCTATTTTTTGGAAGCCTCGATTTGCTCATTGATTCATGGGCTGTGGACTGATGTGAGCTTGGGCGGATGCCTTGTGACTGCTAGAAGTGCTTCAGAGTGTTCTTGGAGATTTGTGGTCCATTTTTTGTGATAATGGTGAGCGGCACACCATATCTGCAGATGATGTTTTCTTAGATTTTTTTTTTTGTACAATAGAGATTATCTTGGCTAGTTTCTTGACTTTATTCCACTTAATGAAGTAACAATATGACCAAATATGTTTTCTTTGCTTAGTATAGGGGGCAATGGTCCCAATAAGTCCATTCTTCCAACTGCGAATGACCAAGGGCTTTTGATGTGTTGTAACTTGTAGGAAAGTTTGATGCTACATAAGGATGAATTTCTTGCATTGGAGGCACTTCTTTGAGAAATTTTCTGCATCTTTCCTTAGAATAGGCCAAAAGTAGCACTGCTTTAAACTTCTGTGGGCGAGTGTTCTTCCTTTAAATTGATTTTCGCACTCGCCTGAATGGATTTCCTTTAGTATGATCTCGTTCTCATCTTCTCTAATGCCCCCTCAGATTGTGTGAGGTCACTAATCTTTTAAGCAACTCGCCCCCATGAGTAGGTAATTTGCTGCTTTGATCTTGAATATAAGATTAGAGAGAGTCGTCTTAGATGGTTTGGTCACATAAAAAGGCGGCCTTCCGACGACCCGGTTAGGAGAGTAGAGGTATTAGATTTGACTTGTGTTAAGAAAGGTAGGGGTAGACCTAAAAAGACTTGGTTAGAAATTATTAGGAATGACCTTTCTTTATTAGATTTAAACGAGAATTTGGCTTTTAATAGGACACAATGGAGAAAAAGGATTCATGTAGCCGACCCCACGTAGTGGGATAAAGGCTTGATGTTGTTGTTGATCTTGAATAGCCTCTAGTTGCTGACCTCTACAGTGATTACTTTTATCTTCAAATATTCGATGATGGGATCTATCCAACTCGCTAGGCGATTGACCTCCACTTGTAAGATTTATTTTTCTCTTATGGTCAGACTCATGATATTCACTGCTGGTCACCCAATAGGGTTTCTTATACGCTAGGGGCTCGCCTTGTGGGGCTTAGGGGTGTTGATATTCACTATATTAATGAGGAGAAATCATGGGAGAAATAATTAGGAAAGTTTATTTAAGGAAAGATGGATGATTGGATTTAGATTGGGGATGAAATTATGAAAGGTTTATTTAAGGAAATGGGGCAGATTTGAATTTAGATTTAAGAGGAAATTAGAAAGGTTTTATTTAGGGAAAGAGGGCTGATTTGAGTTCAGATTTGTGAGGGAATTAGAAAGGTTTTATTAAGGGAAAGAGGACTGATTTGAATTATGATTTGGGAGGAAAATGTAATAGTTTATTTAAGGGTAATCATGTTGTTTTATTTTCATTATGTGATTTATGTTTACTGTAGTTTTCTTAGGAGTTGTTCCTAGCGGCGTCTAGGATTTATGAGAGAGCTGATCTTTCTCTCGAATAGTAGATCAATTGTATTTTACTTTATTCTTGAAGATGAAATAAGAAAATCAACCATATCTTTGTGTTCCTATATTTTTCATCTCATTTATTTGTTGTTTTTACTTCCAAAACGCATCAAGTTGGTATCAGAGCGAGGTTTTTTTGGAGACAATGGCAGCAAAGAAGGTGGATGCGTTGGATGGAGAAATGGAGCAATTCAAATTCAGGCTGGAGGAGAAATTCTGAACTCTCGAAGGAAGATTTTCAACCATGGAGAATCGGATGGAGAGTCAATTTGGGGGGTTGGAGGAGATGATGAAGAAGCTCATTGAGATTCAATACAAAACTCCACCGGCGGATCCGATTGCTAACCCTAACCACGATTTGATCTAAATTCCTTTGGCCGAATCTAAGGGAAAAGAGATCGGGCGAGATGAGTTCGAAGAAGAGAGTTTCTACAATCAAAAGTGATCTCCTAGGGCTCCAATGAGGGTCGGAATAGGGTTTCTGAATGTGGGGATAGCAGGAGAGAATATTTTAGTGGAGGTGGTGGGGTGGCCGACCACTATGTGAGGCATGTCGAGCAAGGAGAGTGGACAACTGAAGATGAAGGGAGTCGAACTGAGCCATGGGAATCGGGTCATGCAAGGAGGGTGGAAGAAAGGTGGGATTTCCACCCTCAATACATGGGGGAAACATAGAGGGATCACGACAATCATTACACTAGAGGACGAAGAAGCTATTGGGGCAGTGACGATCCTAGGGTGAGGAAGTTGAAGATGCAGGTATTCGAAGGGGTGGATGCCCATGGGTGGGTATACCAGGTGGAGAGGTATTTTTCCAGTGAATGGTTTGAGAGAGGATAAACTTACGGTCACAGGATTATGTCTGGAGGGGAAAGCCCTCGTTTAGTTTAAGTGGAGAGAGGCTAGATGCTTGATCCACATTTGGGAGGAGTTTAAGAATTGTTTGTTGGAATATTTTTGAGCCATTTGGGAAGGAAACAAACACAAGCAATTCCTTGTCTTGACACAAGAGGGGGCCGTCATGGAGTACATTGAAAGTTTTGTTTACGTATCCTGTATGGACTTAAAGCTCAAGTATAGCAGATCTTTGTCTATAAGAAAACCTACAATGTTCATTTCGGAAAAATACCATGGAAATCTTTAACAAATGTGCACATTCTCTCACATTTTCATGACTATAGAGAGAACACACATGTAAAGCACTTTGTTCAACTTTGTTATAATAGAGTCATAGACTATTTCAATCTGAAAAGTTACGACAACCTCAATGAACCAAACTTAAGATATGAAATTTGTGCCATACATGCACATCCTTTTTAATATGGCGCTTGTGAACACCAAAATCAATATCTTGAGTTGAATAGGGATTTTCAGGATAAACTACTTCGAGGAGGGGAGATGAGAGAAAGGAAAATGAAATGAAAATAATTTCTTGTCCTATTCGGTACTCCCAATTAGACCAAGAGCCAAAAAATTCGTTACATAATATTAAGTATTTATGGGCCACCTTGGGCTTCTCAATTGTGTGGATGAGAATATGAAGGAACTTGCCACTAAGCATTCAGTTTAAATGGTGATTTCAGTCCACTTGTCTACTTCTCCAACCGGGAGATGTGTGTGGGGACATCTGTATGCGGATCTTCTGAATTCATCCAAATCACTATTGAACATGGTGCTAGAATGACATGAAGGAACTATCTTG